AATTCAAATGTCACATTGTCAAGTTGACAGAAGTAAGGGCCAGAGAAGTGTATGATTGTTCCACACAACGAGAGCACATTTTAATTCGAGCACATTTAGATTGCTTTTTTATAATCTGGACTGTATCAAAGAATGTTGGAATTACGGAGATAATTTGCTCGGCAATCATGAGATTCACAAGATCAGCGATATTTAGGATATATAATTTTAAGGGTAGCATAATAGATTAATAGCTTACAAGTGTTCGCCGTAAATTGCGATTGTTCCATGTAATTTAACATGAGGTATTTTAGAACAATATACAGAGTTGAGTTAGCTGAAAATCTTAACCTCCACGATTGTACGATATAAAACTGTACCGATATGTGTATTAAAAACCGAAATCGTTTCCCGCCTTGATGAGGGAGTTTGATACTCTAGTTAGTGCACCGCTCTTGTGCTATAAAACACTTATTCAATTTAATTTTACAAGTTTGCCCAGATCAAATGGTCAACAACGTCCACCTGTTCGATAGCCAGACTTACTTAGCTACTTTATAATAATATTAGGACTTTGACACTAATAGGGCTTTCACATGTGAGATTAAGGCTATTTACAGCCTTGATGTCGGTCATTGGTTTACAGGAGCGCTAGGACATTTAGTCTTCCGTATAATAATTTCTGTAGAAGTTTCAATAATGAAGATGAGAAGGAGACAGTCAAACACATTACGTGTTTATGTCCAGCTTTGTCTGACTTTAGAATGACTGGGGAATCTCTCTACCGTTGATGTTCCTTTATTTGTGCCACAGGTTCGTTTGACACGTACCTACCATAGACACACGGAAGCCAATTCGGCAGATCTAGGTTTTTTTACTTTCGCGTATCATAACTGGACCTTTGATGGACTTAAGTTTCATGCCACATTGTTATCGATATTGAAATATCCGACGAGAGCGACAATAAGCAAGCTATCCTCTGACTATGTACTAGGGTAAAGGGATGTGAATATCGATCACGTTTGACAAATATATACTCTTGTTCGGAATATAACCTTTACTCTTACCGTTTAGTCAATTTGATTCCACACAACCAATTACTGTATGTTTCTAACCCAGAGATTCCCACCTTATTTCGCTTTGCAAATAACTTGCGATGAATATGTAGGAAGAACTGGAACAAATCGGTTGAGATAATTCTCTGATTTTTGAAAAACTAGCAATGAATAAACATGGAAACTTCTTCATATTGCTAATTAATATCTTTTCCGATATAAGCGCCTATTTGGTGAACTATCGCCTATTTGTGGAACTATTTCTAATACTTCGGTAAACCGAAATCCTAATCCATCAAATAGGCCAAAGTCAAGTTATTAATCACAGATGAGACAACATTGTAGTTATTCTAGTATGAACAGAGTAAACCCAGAACATACTCCGACAATGAAGGGAATTCCATGATGTAATCTAAATAAGATACAGTACTTCAATCACCATTCAACAAAGCGCACTTCTCATTCATTCGACACATTCATATAGAAAACATCCGAGAGTGGAAGAAGTGAATGTCCGCATTCCCCTTCATTCATTCTAAATTTTATTCATTTAACAATAACTTATTCCTAAGGCTTAGCCCCACAGTCACTCCTCTAAAGGGTACTTGTTTTCTTTCTCGGGAACAGCACCGAACTTATTCCGATATATAGATTTCACCGTGCATGAGTCTTGAAATCAACAGTATCTTCCCATCCATGACACAAGCCAAGTTCCAGAACTGTTCCCGACACCAGTTCCCACGGTACCAGATAAGATTGGTTTTCTGGTTCGACCCCAAGTCAAATGATTTCATGAAAAGACCGAGGATTCAAATGACACCAACGTCAGACTAAAAGTACTGGTACACCGGGATTGCAATAACACCAAGATAGGGAAAGCTTCATTAAGGAAAAAAAGGTGAAAAAACTACAATGTTGAACAATAAAGCAGGACTATATAATATAACATGGTCTCAAAACCATCCTGTAAAGATACATATTGAACGGTTGTACACAAACCTCAGATGTGTCTACAACATAACAGAGGCAGAAAATTGTCAGCAACTGTGAGGTACTGGTAGACTATCATGATCAAGTTGAGCACTAAAGCTAATACCAGTGGGAGTGGCCCTAAACTGGGAAACAAAATGTCTATCTAATCGTAAGACTCGCTTGTAGTCGGGAATCCGTGCTATAAAGAAATGTAGTTATAAAAGAGCCATAACCGAATACTTAGCTAGTGATAAGCTTGGCAATAAAAAAAGCTAATAAATTGACTATCAACGGAAGGGAGCTTGAGGAAGTTAACGCGACGAATGCTAAAAGGTCGGATTTGCAAGCATGAGGGGGAGAAATCAAACATGGCACCTTAAGTAAGTGAACATTGTATTTATGATGGTACTTATTGTGGCTGGACACACAAATTGTACGAATGGATTCAGAATATATAATAAAACAGGACTATACTACATAACATGGCCTTAAAAATTTACTCCAACAGACTATCATGTTCAAGTTGAGCACTAAAGCAAATACCAGTGGGAAAATCCCACATGTCCACTTAAAGTAAGAATACATTAGGCAATGTATGTATGGTGGTGCGTATTGTGACTGGACACACAAATTGCACGAATGGATTCAGAATGTAGAGCATCTTATCTTATTAATAATGATACACCGGATACTGCAATACTCTGGAATACTTATTGGAAAATTCTAAGGAACTATTTTCTGAAAATTAAGTTTCTGAACATTGAGCAATAGTTTCTTTTAAAAGTCACTTATAAGTGGGGCACAGTAAGCCTGATATCGTTGTATTTCTTAAATGCAGATGTAGTATACATTCTACGTTCCCGGCTCCTCGTTTTTAACTTTGGAATTTTCTGAACAGCCAAATGGCAAGAAATGAAATCGCGTGAAATCTAATAAAGTCCTATAAAGTTAGCAATAATAAACCTTTAGGACGTTCAATATTTCCCTTACATCTGAGGATTATCATATCTTACAAAGGTAAGATATGATAAGATTCTCAAACTGATACTCTTGGAGAAGAGCGTTAAAAGAAACCATTCGGACAGAAATTTTACGGTCATGTTCTGAGAAGAGCATATAATAATAGAAATACCACTGGATTTTAGGGGGGCGGAAGGGGATGGCAAATATGAAATCTTTTAATAATGAAATTTTGAGAATTATATAAAAAATTAATTTAAAAATTATATGAAATTTTGTCGTGGCAACACTGGTATTATGTTGTAGCATTTGGTAAATTGAATGTACAACGCCGGAGGAATAAAATTAAATGTTTCGTTTTATGAATTTTTGTCTCATTCTCACTCACTCACATAACATAAACACTCGCACTCACTTCCAATGTTTTGCTTTACTTGTGTTCTTAGAATATAAAATGAGTTTGTAAACGAGTGTGTTTTTCACTTGGAGGGGTGTATTGATGTTGTTGTTGTTGATTTTTCAATAAGAGAGTGAGTGACCAAAAATAACAACAACTCAAGTTAACTGTTTTTACTGTGCGTTAGTAAGAATGTATGCGTCTGTGTTGGTAGTGTGAGGGCAACCATTGGACATTCCATGATGAGGATGATAATGAATGAATGCAACAATGGCAACAATCTTGCTGCTCCGCTGAACAGAGAACAAAGCTGCTGCTCTGCCTTTTAAATAATCTACAATGCCATTCGTTTCAATAACTCAACTTTACTCTAGCGATGGTTGTTGTTTTCTTTTCATACGGGTGTGTTTTGTTTATATTTTTGTGAGTGAGCGAGTGTGTGTTTTTTATGTTTTCTTTTATTTTATTATTTTTGTAGTGGTAGTATAGTTGCTTTTGGGTATTAGTAGTGGTGGTTGGTTGGTTGTTCGGTCGGTTGGTTGGCTGGTTTGGTGGTTAAACATTTGCGGCTCGTTTACTTGGCTCAATAGTTGTCGTTGCAGCTCTCAGTTCAAATTGAATTTTCATTGTGAATGTTTGTTATTCATTTAACGGCTAAAAACTGTAAATTTTCGTTTTTCTTACCGTCGGCGGTTCTGTTCAGTTTTTCAAAAAAGTAACAACCAACTAACATTAATATCCCATCAATTTCCATTTCCTACACACATACGCACGTTCTCACTACACTCTCGCATACTCTCAGCTTATTTACCGTGTGGTTGTTTTATCACGGTAAATCTAAAAGGGAGCAAAGTTACAGTTTCTTATTGGAACCTTCAACAAAAAAACAACCAAGAAAAGTGATTTTTGTGGGGGAAAATTATATAAAAGAAGAAGAAGAAGCATAAATACAACAATGTAAAATAACTAAAGTGATTTTATTGTTGTTATTGCTGTTGTGATTTTAGTTTAAGAGTAAAAACAAAAATTCAACAAAAACCGGATTGTAGTGCATAAACGTTTTAGTTGCCCGTTAACAACGTCATTGATTTAACACAACTTGTTTTTTTGCTGCGGAACACAGCAATTGAAAGCAATTAATAGCGCAAAATATCCACACACTCAAACAACAAAATTATTAATACATACTAATAGTAGTAATAAAAATAATAATTGAATTTTAATTAATTAATTTAATCGATGGATTGTAAATTCTAATTTAATATTAAAAAAATATTTATACTACGCTACGTCAACACATACACTCCCCTTAGGAAACAGTTAACTAAAAAAAAAAACTTTAAAGAAAAAATAAAATAATTTTGCATAAATTATTTAAATTTTTTTTAGAAAACAAAAGGAAACGTGTAGTGATTTTTGTGAATAATTTAAAACATAATATCAGTGATAAAAATACATGTTGTTAATTAAAATCTATTCTTTACTTTAAAAAAAAGAAAAAAATTTAAGAGAAATTTAATAAAAAAAAAAAACTACGAAAATTTATAAACGGTTTTCAAAAACACATTTTTGTTTGTATGTATAGTTAGTTTTTTATAACAAGTTGTACTCCTACTCCATATATTGCCCAAACAATAATGGTTTTGGAACAACAACAACAGTCCTCTTCATTACAACAAACACCGCCACCACAACAGCTATCACCACCTAACACTGTAGCGGTAAACAATAACAGCAATCACAGCTCTAACGGTATGCCCGCCATGCCGTCGGAGGGTTTACATCCTACCGCTGCCCTACAACTATATGCCGCCGCTGCTCAATTAGCCCCCGGCGGTGTACGTGTCCCACCCTGGAGTCCATTTCTGCAGTTTGGTGTACCGGGGGTCTTTGGTGGTGCCCCATTTTTGGGCCGTCCGCGTTTTGAAGGCACTTCTCAACAAAATGCCGCCGCTGCAGCCGCTTCTCAGATGGCCGTTAATGCTAGCAATGCTTTTGCCAACTTAACGGGTCTCAGTGTGGCCATGCGTAATGTTTCCGCCGTACAAACATCGGCTGCCGCCGCTGTGGCTACGGTGGCGATACAACATCGTCTTATGATTGGAAATAGACAGAATATGCCGCCAACGGGTCCACCAAGTGAAGGATCTAATGATGATGCTGGTAAGTGGAGTTGTTTAACAAACAGTTTTTAATAAATTAGGCAACACTTTTGGTCTAAAATTTAATTTTGGGCCTGTTTCCAGATATTGTACTCGCTCTTATCTGGAAAGTACACTTTTATATATGGTAATGGTTTCATAAAATGTTTGAAAATTACACAGGTCGACAAAAGTCAAAACCCTGAGACCAAGTTATACTTTCTTAAATGATTTTCTCCATCACATCTCTGAGTTATCGTGACCTAAAGCTTGAAAAACGCCATTTTTGTCTCTTTTCGGTTGTTGTTGCTATTGTAGCAGCCAAAAATATACAATAATCCAATTGGGGGGGTTCTACATCAATGTCCAGATCTAAAAATTGGGCTACTTCAACTGGATGCGTCCATAAATCCATTGGATAAAGTCAAGTAGGGTTGGCTAAGCAGTTGAATATGTGGTGAGTGTCATGAGAAGCTTGACCACATGCAGGACATTTGATGGGGACGGCACGGTCTATACGTGATCAGTAGGCATTAAGGCTGTTGCTCCATCCAGATCTTAGTTATGCCAGAACTGCTCTTCTTTTCCGCGGCAGGATTTCTTCTGTGTCTGCTATGGCCGACCTCCAAATACGACATTCATGCGGTATCCTGCGACATCGCAATTGATGCCGTTTCTATGAATGTCGTTCAAAGCTGCTGATCTGAACTGATCTAATGGAACTTGCACATATCTGCTTATGTTCTCATCATAAATACGAAGTTCCTTACTGACATGCCTCGGGGGAGTGTCCAACTGTGTGATGTTAAAGTTGAGATGACTTCTCCGATGACATCCCAGGATGAACTGTTTAGTCAACATGACATTGTGTTCCTTGACTGTGAGGACCTTCGTTTCCTCGTGTAGGTGATGTTTCTTGGTCATTTATAGGCAGCCCGTTATAGTCCTTAGGGCGACATTTTCGCAGCTTTGAATGTTTATCCACTAGGTATCACCAAAGAATATTACAAGTATACGTATCTTGACATGCGGGTTGTTATGATTTACACGTATTTTTTATGTATCAAGAACCGGTATTGAAAATGTATCTTGTACGAGACGCACATTCTATGTATTAAATACTCTTTGGTATCACTGAGCGAAGGTGATCACACTGGAGCAGCATAATTGACCACTGACGGAACAATCATTTTATACGTAGCTAACAAGGTTTCTTTATCCATACCCCATGCTGCCGGCTAGCTCATTTTGGTACGTTATTTGGATCTCCAATGATATTTGGATCTTATTTCGAAGAAAACCTAACAATGACAATTTACGCATTCTGTTATTGCTCGGACATATGCCTAGAAGCTAGCAACGAACTCCTAAAGGTATTTGGTCTAATGTTGCACTTGTTCATGACATTCTATCTGGCAACAGTGTTTCAAAGTTCCTGACATATTCTTTGTCTGTTATAGGATCGGGCACGTCCGAAATTTGTGTCCAGCCTTCCAATATATTCAGTATATACTAATGACTCTTAAAGTTAAGAGTCGTTCAGCTGTAAGTGCCCCTCATATATTAAATATACATATTTCAATGGGAGGGAGATATCTCTCACTAAAATCGGCTGATTCCAACACAAGATTAAAGTTGTTTTTTTTTTCAATATTTTAAAACTTTCGTAAGAAAATCAAAATTTCAGTTCCAACATAAAGTTTTCAATTAAAAATCATTCATTTTACAACATTTTGTTTTTATTTATTATTAAAAAGTTAATAATTTTGTTTAGTCTATTTATCAAAAGGTCATCAGCAATGCCTTTCATAACATTTTCTGCCAGACGGCCGTCATAAGCCTTAAAAAGATCCGTCAATCTCCATGTAAACTAGATTTTTTTTGTATTTGCAAAATTACAAAAACTGACGTTGACAGACAATAATTTTAAATTGAATAGACAATATTTTTTTCCAAATTGAATACAAACAAACTAATTGATTATTTATTTTTCAATATTATTTTGAATAAGCAACAACAACATTTCAAAAAAGTAAAAATCAATCAATTCTAAAGAGTTTTCTATAATCAGCAGCAACCTTGTAAAATAATTAGTAAAATACATTAGAAGTACATTGTTATTAATGCTTATCAATTGTTAGCAATTATTTTTTTTTTGTTTTTATAAATATTCGTTATTAATAGCAAATTCAAATAATGTTTTCATTTAACTGACAACACAGCTTGTGAAAAAATGCAAAACAAATGTCATATTGTTTAATCAATTCAACATTTACAAAAAAAAAAAAGATAATCAATCAATTTAATTAAATAGAAATGTTTTGCCATTATTATTATAGGTAACATTTTAATAAACTAACAAACACTTTTAATCTGTAATTGTTTTAAATTTTTTCATACAAAGTTTTATTTAAAATAATTAAAACTTTAATTAGCAATTACAAACACCTTTAATTTATTTATAATCGGCTTTCTTTGTAACTTGATATCTTGATATTTTTTTAAATCTAAATTAAAGTTTATTTTTTGTCGTTTACTGTTGCACGGGTTTAAATTAATTAAAATTGTGTTTTTTTTAATTATTTTTTATTTTAAATTAATCTCTCAACTAGTTACAATATAAATGTGCTAGGTTACAAGTTTTTATTAAAGGTTATCATAGGTTCTAGTCGTAGACACAGATTGTATTTTAGATGAATAATCAATTTAGTATTTTTTATTGACTTCACAGACATTTTTTAAAAAGTCATATAAGTTGAAAGACTCTGCTGCTGAATTCATAGATCCCTAAAGAAGTAGCATTGGAGATAAGAATATTTTCGTCACGATTTGACCAATTGGTTTCTTTGATAAAGAATGATAGACTTTCATTTCTAGGGAAGTAATTGATCATGTTACTTCTATCTCGGCGATATATATACACATGGGAAACACATCCAATAAAAGTCTGCTGCATTGTTGTTTCGTTTCCTGATCAAGGATCAGAGATCTTTAATAGTTTTACTTCTATTTAGTTCAAGTTCAGTAAATTTTCTAGCTGCGTTCACACGAGTTCATTTCCCGATTAAGGATATACACATAGGAAACACATCCAATAAAGTATGCTGCATTGTTGTTTCGTTTTCCGATCAAGGATCGGAGATAGCTATACTTCTACTTAGTTCAAGTTCAGTACCTTTTCTAGCTGCGTTCACACGAGTTCATTTAAAAGAAATTGGATATAAAATCACTATTTCCATGTTTAGTATAATTTGATTCCATTTGGAAAAGTGATTAAACAAAATTTAGGTGATTTATGTAAGAATCTTAATCGAATTTTAGTCGAACTTCCTTTAGATAATCATTTTCTTAAAGAAAATTTTTTTGAAAAATAAGTTTCTTACATGAGTTTTGTGTAAAAATTTTAAAATATTGTTCATCTTCATAACAAGAGTTCTATAAATTGACTTAAGAACAATGGTCTATTTTACAAAAACAGTTGCAGAAAACTATATCGTCCTAATAAAGTCGACTATTTTGTAAAGAAAAGTCGACTATTTTGTAAAGAAAAGTCGACTATTTTGTAAGGACAAAGTCGAATAAACGATTTTGTAAGTAAAAATTTAAATAAGCTGAAAAAATGCCCCCAAAAGTTACTTTTAATGAATTACAAAAAGTCGACTTTTCGATTTTTCTACTTTCTACTAATAAAGTCGACTATTTTGTAAAGAAAAGTCGACTATTTTGTAAGAACAAAGTCGAATAAACGATTTTGTAAGTAAAAGTTTAAATAAGCTGAAAAAATGCCCCCATAAGTTACTTTTAATGGATTACAAAAAGTCGACTTTACGATTTTTCTATTTTATGAAAAGTCGACTTTTACAATTCACGACATTTCAATGTTTTTTAAGATCGACTTCTTTTTCATACCTTTTCACTTTTACCTATTGACTTATTTATTACAAAATGTCGACTTTTCGATTTTGCGACTTTTTGTAATTTATGAAAAGTTGATTTTAACAATTCACGACTTTTCAAACATTTTTTAAGTTCCACTTATTTTCTTACTTTTTCACTTTTATCTATCGATTTATTTCGATCTTTTAGAATTCTATTTAAAAACTAACAAGATCTTCGACTTTTTATGAAAAGTCGACTTTTACAATTCACTATTTTTCATACTTTTACACTTTTACCTATCGACTTATTTCGATATTTTAGAATTCTATTTAAAATTTCGGCTTTTGCGTCTAAAACACGATTTTTTGAAAGTTGCAATTTATGAAAAGTCGACTTTTGCAATTCACAACATTTTTAAGATCGACTTTTTTCATACTTTTTAACTTTTATCTATCGATTTAGTTCGATCTTTTATAATTCAATTTGAAAACTTTCAAGATCATCGACTTTTTCGTCTAAAACTCGCTGGTTAGAAAGCCGATTGATAGAATTCTACTTAAGTCTAAAAAACTACTTTTTGTTTCAACTATAGAACCCTACATATAAGAGGTTTTGTTATGGATTCGAAAAGTTATATAGGGATGACTGTTCGAAACTGTCATCCTCGCAAGTGAAATCGGCATTTGATTTAAATAATGTTTCAAAAAATATTCTGTTAAACTTGTGTAGATCCAATGCATAACTATTGCTAAGGAATTAGTTCATAAAAAGCTCTTTAAGAACTACTTGAAAATCACATCAATGTTTTAAAAAAGTCGAAAATTCAACTTGTTGTCTCAATCATAAAATACTACTTGTTAGTGCAGGTTCACACTGAGCAACTTTCTGAAGAGATAACATTCTTCTTTATTTTCTCTAATGCAAAAACAAAAAGTGGCGTAACCATGGCATATTTAAGAAGTAACCAACAATTGAGAGCAAACGCACGATTGTCAAAGCGTTTTTATAGGGAGTTTGACAAAAGCTGGGCTAATGATGTCAAAATACTCTGGGTGCAACAAAAGTTGCTGAGAGTGTGAACCGACAAGTGAGTGATTCTGAAGAGTCGATATGTTTTAAAGAGTCGACTTAATGATAGAACTT